AGCAACCTCCAACTCCTGGGCTCAAGCAAGTCTCCTGCCTCTGCCTCCCAAGTAGCTGGGACCACAGGCGCCTGCCACAATGCTCGGCTATTTTTTTTGGTTCCAGCTGTCATTGTTGTTTGGTGGGCCCGGGCTGGATTCGAACCCGCCACCTTAGGTGTACGTGGCTGGCACCTTAGCTGGTTGAGCTATAGGCGCCAGCTATCTCAACTTGGTTCTTGAGATACTTACACAGAACCCCAAAATATATAACTAGAAGCGACGAGGACTTGAGGAGTTTGCCTCTTTGCTCATGCCTTGTCTGTGATCTTTCCTTGTAAGGTAACTCTTCTGTAAGTGTCCTCACTTTATCATGTGTTTCTTTGTGACTCTATATCTTACTTGTTTTCTTATAGCCAAACGTCCTGAAACAGTCCCAAGCTTTCCATACCCACTTTCTCATCTCTCATTCATTCCTTAGCCCACCTTGATCTGGCTCTTCTTCTGCTCAAACTGCTTTTCTAAATGGCACTAGTTACCAGATACAATGGATGTTTCTTGGTCCTTGTCTTGCTTCACCTCTCCATGACGTATGACACTGCTCTGCACTCCTTCCTTCTGGAAACTCAATTTCCCTTAGCTTCTGTGACCCTGCTATCTTGGTTCCTTGTACGTCTCTGGTCATCCTTCTGAGTTGTTCTCTACCATCCTCTTTTTCTTTTTTTTTTTTGAGACAGAGTCTTACTTGTCCCCCTCTGTAGAGTACGTGCCATCACAGCTCACAGCAACCTCAAACTCTTGGGCTCAAGTGATCCCCTAGCCTCAGTTGTCCTCCACAATAGCTGGCTAGTTTTTCTATTTTTAGCAGACATGGGTCATCCTTTTTGCCCAGGCTGGTCTTCAACTCCAGAGCTCAGGTAATCCATCACCTCAATCACCCAGAGTGTTAGCATTACAGGCAGGAACCACCATGCCTGGTTGACACCAAACTATTAATATATCTTCAGATGTCATCCCATCATTCCAACCCAAGAATTACTGCTTTTATTTTACTCTTCTTTTTTGATCAACATAATATATGTGTGCTGAAATTTAACTATAGGTTCAAGTGTGTGGTGAGATAAAAAAAGGTTGAGAAACACTGTTCTTGGCCAAGATTAGGGTATAAAAGTATAAGTTTGTTTTGTATTAGAGAAAGGGAAGAGAGTGGAGAGGGAGAGACAAGAAAAGATAGAGAACAGAGAGCAGGGAGTGAGAGAGGAGAAGATGCTGAGCCAGTAACAAAAGGAGAATGGTGTGGCTTCCCAAAGGAAGAATGCTCGCCTGACAGCTACTGCTGTTCATTATCTGTGCCTGAATTCTTGCAATACTCCAGCCAACCGCCAGGAAGATGCTTGTGTTGTCTTTCTAAAAGGACATCTAGGTTCGTCACCTGTAGCTCACAAGCTAGGCCACCAGCCACATACAACGAAGCTGGCAGGTTCGAATCCAGCCCGGGCCTGCCAAACGACAATGACAACTACAACCAAAAAATAGCCGGGCGTTGTAGCAGGCGCCTGTAGTCCCAGCTACTTGGGAGGCTGAGGCAAGAGAATCGCTTAAGCCCAAGAGTTTGAGTTTGCTGTAGGCTGTGACACCACAGCACTCTACCCAGGGCGACATAGTGAGATTCTGT